AGGACTGTCTTCAGCATCAGCCCCCTACCCCCTCACCCCCCATTGCTCCATCTCTCCCTTTTCCGGTGTCTAGTGACCTCATGCTTCTTTCTGGATACCCAAAACCTTACAATTCAGTCACCCCTGAGATCTTGAAGACTCCAATCTTGCAGAACTCTCATTCTCTTCTATCAACGCTTACTGGTCCTATGTCCTGTTCTGCTGGTCTCTGCCAAGTGAAGGGAGGCTACCCTTAAAAGATAACTCAAGTGTCAGGAATAAGTAGCTGCAAGTGTAACTTTTACTAACTCATATTTTCTGTTGTATAATAACAGCTTCCAATGCCTTCATACCAAGGAGTAAGAAGGCAATTTCAGCCCCATGGTAAGATCAAGGATTCTCTCTTTTCTTCTGTAAGAGAACATTTCTTTTTTCAGGGATTCTCTTCTGATGGCCCTCAAATCTCACAGCTACGTGAAAATGGGGGCTGTGTCAGTTAGTGTTTGTGGGTAGCAAGCAACAGAAACATCTCAGCTAACATGTCAAAGGGAAGTTGCAGTAAAAAAGCAGGAGTGTGCAGGCAAGTGGAAGGATCAGTGAGCCAGCCTTGGAAATGGTCTGCAGGGCTAGCAGCAGAGCTATAGAAAAAAGCCATTGCTGACCAGGATGCCGCCATTGCCAGCATGATCTCACACTGTTAGTCTCCACATTGTTCTGCTCAAAATTCACATTCTGGGGAGGGGTGTGCAGTTGGGCCAGCCTGGGTCATGTGGCTGCTCCCAGCTAGGGCAGGTTGGGGTAACTAATTAGCTTTTCAGAGAGTGGGCTAAAAGCTGCTGACCCAAACCCACCGGAGTCCCCACGTGGACCATATCACATAAACGCTGGGATTGAGTACATGCCAGCATACCGGTCTAAATGATGTACTCTTGTCATGACAAATGAGTTGATGCCTTTGTTTTCTTTAGCAACTAGAAACTTAGTTGATGTTTGGGTTAGTTTTTAAACTAAGAACAACTAATAAAAACTAGTATATGAGCTCGGCCAGTGTTGCTCAGTGGTTGAGCATCAACCCATGAAGCAGGAGGACACAGTTCGATTCCCTGTCAGGACACATGCCTGGGTTTCAGGCTCCATCCCCAGTGGGGGGTGTGCAGGAGGCAGCCAATTGATTATTCTCTCTCATAATTGATGTTTCTGACTCTTTCTCTCTCTGAAATCAATAAAAACGTATTTTTTAAAAAACTAGTCCTTAGGTCTTTTACACCCCTGGTTAAATTTATTCCCAGGTATTTTGTTGTTGTTAATCCTCACCCAAGGATATTTTCCCATTGATTTTTAGAGAGAGTGGAAGCAAGGGGGAGAGACAGAGAGAGAGAGAAACATCGATGTGAGAGAGACACATTAATTGGCTGCCTCCCGCATGTGCCCTGACTGGGGCCGGGGATTGAGCCTGCAACCAAGGTACCTGCCCTTGACCAGACTCGAACTGTCAACCCTTCAGTCCATGGGCCAACACTAACCACTGAGCGAACTGGCTAGGGCAATTCCCAGGTATTTTTTGTTGATGCAATTATAAATGGGATTGTTTTCTCAGTTCCTCTTTCTGATAGTTCATTATTGGTGTATAAAAATGCAACTGATTTCTGGATATTTCTTTTGTATTCTGCTACTTTATTGAATTCATTTATCAGTTGCAGTAGTGTTTTGGCAGAGTCTTTAGGGTTCTCTGTGTACAGTACATGTCATCTGCTATATTGTCATTTTTGATGAATGGTCCCTCTGGCAGCATTCCCAGGTTATACCATGAAAGGGGGGCTGTGGATGGTGAGTACAGTTTGTCCATGAGAATGAGCCTCGAAGCGACATGGTGCAAGAACAAAGGACAAGGAAGCAGCACGGACCAGTGATTTTTAGTTCAGGGTTTATGTCTTGCTACTCTGATGAACTGCTGAGAACCAAAATGAAGTGAGGCGTTTCCTGGAGCAGTCGGTACAGGATCACTGGCAGCCTGTGCTCCTCCTGGTAAGAAGCCACTCTGACAAAATGAAATCCCAGCGGTAGGCTGCAGCTCAGATTTCCTAACCACAGTACAAAAGACAGTCGAGTAGGCAGGTCTTTGAATAGAGTTGGCATCCTTTCAATCCCACTTTTTTGTACTTTTCCTATATTTTTCTGATTAGATGGAATTTTGGAGCAGCCCCAGTAACCAAGTAGTATAAATATTGTTTCATTGCCTCTAAATTTCCATCCTATGAGCTACACCAAGAAGTTATTAAAGCCAGACTTGCCTGCCCTTCACATGTGTTTCTCCTTGCTCTTCCGGAGTTACAAACCACACCTGAGCTGAGGGAAGGTGGGAGCTTTGAATTGGATGAGTAGTTGATTTTTTTACATTAGGTTAGGATGGGTTTTAATAACCTAAAAACGAAGATGATTTCTTTATACCTGAAAGTAATTGGAAAAGCCTCCGGCTCCAGCAGTGGAGGAGCCATGGGAAAGGGGAGATAGCCCACAGAGCTTTGTTTCAAGGCAGTGATGAGAGAACAATGTGTCTTCTGACATTCACCCTACGGAGCCCAGCCTGTCCAATAAAACTGATTTACAGATGTCTCACTTTGTTCTTGTGATAGAAACAATCTTCTAGCAATCATCTTTTGAAACTAAAGTCTCTTAGGTTACATCCAGAATGGACTTGCAGTATTTCAACGGTTTTTTAAACTGAGTTACTGCTGCTCTTTTTTAACTTTTATTTTTTATTTTGGCTAATTACGGTTTTAGTCTTGGCCTTGTCTTCCCTTCTTCTAGGTAAGGTTTATTACATTGCTCCATCTTAGAATTGCCCTGCTTCCTGACAGCATCCAGTCCAGAGCAAACCCCTGCTTCCTTGAACCGCCCAAGATGTCTTACAGGAGGAGATCAGCAAAGAAGGGAGCCACATTCTCTAGCTGTACTATCACTTTGGTTTTAGTGAGCCCTTGCAGGGGAAGATGTGCACAGGTGATTAGTGCGGGATGCACATGGCTACTTACTGAATGTCCACTACTTTCACATTAGCTGGTGCATGCTAGGGATGCAATAAATGCTCGTGGAATTAATCTCTGCGTTAAATAGGTAATGAACATTTTGTCCAAAGTTTTGTCAGTATTTAGCTGAGCACTGTCTTGACTGGAAGCAGAAATGGAACGTTGCAGAGCAGTTCCACAAACCGCTGCTGAAAAACAATACCCGCACTAGTTTCTTCCATCCGTGCCCGGATGCTGCACAGTTGGCCCTGGGCCAGCCGCCTCCAGCGAGTTGCCCGGACCCGCCCCACGGCCGCTGATCGCTGTGCGCAGGCGCTGAATCCCGGCTGTGTTTTCCAGTCTACGGGCTTTGATTGGCTGAACCTTGGTGGTCCCGCCCTGGGGACCGGAAGTCCACTTTAGACTCGGAGTCCGCGGAGGGCTCCACGCTCAGCCGGCTCTTCTTGGTGAGCCACGCCCCGGGTTTGCCTAGGTCTCTGCGCGGGGGAGTCCTGGTGCGCTCTGGGCCTTGGGCGGGGGAGGCCTGAACGTTCCTTTGTCCCCTCCGCCCCGAGGGCCCCGGGGTGGGCAGATCCCTCCGGGCCGCCCCTGCTTGTGTTGGGTGCCAGGCTGTCACCCCAGAAAGGTTTGCTGCAGGCTTGGCTTGTCGCTCCACCCCACCCACCGGAACCTGAACCCGGGCCAGAGCGGGCCCTTGGGTTGTACCTTCCATTCAATTGCTAGGAATCATCTTAACGTGCGAGGCCTCTAGCGCAGTACAGTATTGACAGTTCAGAAACCGAGACGCCCCTACGGACAACAACATAAACCGATGAACAAAAACAGATCCAGAGACAGAAGACTGTCAAACCTCAGAGGGAAGGCAGGAGAGGGTGGGGGTAAGGGGGAGAGATCAACCAAAGGACTTGTATGCAAGCATATAAGCCTAACCAATGGACACAGACAACAGAGGGTGAGGGCATGAGTGGGGGAGTGGGGGGCAAGGGGGGGATAAGGACACATTTGTAATAACTTAATCAATAAAGGGGGAAAATTAAAAAAAAAAAACATTTGGCATTTCTCTCCCCTAGAGGAAGGGGCTCCCAGTGTAGCTGGATTAGATCTTAGATCTAAAGTTCTAATCAGATCTCAGTGACTGCTAATTTGTAAACTTTTGGAAAATTTTCTTTGGTCTTCCACTCTTCGGGGTTTAGGCCAGATGTGTGCACCTTGAACATACTGTAATACTAGTTAATAATGACAAGCTTTTATATGCATACTCTTGCTGGCGCTGTATACACTCTCTTTTTGGTATGTATTCAGAAGCTAGAGGTATAGGTGTGTATCTAAGCATTATCTGTATTAGCATATGTTCTAGAACTGTGTTATCCAGTATGGTAGCCACTAGCTACATGGGCAATTGAGTACTTGAAATGTGCCTGGTCCGAATTGAGTTGTGCAGTAAGCATAAAACAGCGAAATTTTTGAGAATTAGTATGAAAAATATAAAGTATCTCAATAATTTTTTATCACATGTTGAAGTAGCAGTATTTTGGATAAACTGGGTTAAGTAAAATGTATTATTAATTTCACCTATCTGGTGGTTTTTTTGTTTTGTTTTCTATTTTAGAGAGGAAGGGAGAGGGAGAGAGAGATAGAAACATCAATGATGAGAGAATAATTGATCAGCCGCCTCCCATAAGCCCCACACGGGATCCAGCCTGCAACCAGGCATGTGCCGTGACCTCCAGGTTTATAGGTCGAGGCTTAACCACTGAGCACCACCAGCTGGACTCACCTGTCTGTTTTTTTTTAACGTGGCTGCTAGACAATTTTAAATTCTATCTGTGGCTTGCATTATGTTTCTATTGGACAGCAATGTTCTAGAAAAGGGATCAGCAAACTGACCTGCAGCTGAATGCAGCCTGCCTGCTTTTGAAAAAAAGATTGATTGGAGCAAAGCCACGCCCATTCGTTTATGCATTGGCAATGTTGCTGTTTCTGCTGCAAGAGCAGGGGAGTTGAGTAGTGCGTACTGAGATCGGATGGCCTGTGAAGCCTAAAATATTTGTTGTTTGGCCTTTTAAAGAAAAAGTTTGCCAACCCCCTGTTCTAGAGCAATGCCTGGTATTATAGTAGATACATGTAAACCTTTTCATTGTAATCCAGTCAGGCTTACTGTGTGACAGGTGTAGTTCTAAGGACTTTATGAGGACTATGTCGTTTAATTCTCATATTAATCCTAGGATGTTGGATTTCCCCCATTTTGTAGATGAGGAAAATGGGGCACAGAATGGTCATGAAGCTTACCCAGCATGCTCGACACACCTCACTTCTGGGGACTGTACCTTCTTGAACCTCCTTATCCTCACATGGCTTGACTCCTGGACCCCACTTGATTAGCCCACAGTAGGCACCATGTTTCTTTTTGTTTTTAACTAGAATTTCTGTTAATGATTTTTTAATTTTTATTTATTTATTTTTTTAAAAATATGTATTTTATTGATTTTTTACAGAGAGGAAGGGAGAGGGATAGAGAGTTAGAAACATCGATGAGAGAGAAACATCGATCAGCTGCCTCCTGCACACCCTCGACTGGGGATGTGCCCGCAACCAAGGTACATGCCCTTGACCAGAATCGAACCTGGGACCCTTCAGTCCCCAGGCTGATGCTCTATCCACTGAGCCAAACCGGTCAGGGCTATTTATTTATTTTAAATTCGTGTTGCCGTTAATCCTCACCCGTGGATATTTTTCTATTGATTTTTTTAGAGACAGTGGAAGGGAAGGGGAAGAGACAGAGAGAGGGGCTCGAGCCTGCAACTGAGGTATGTGCCCTGGACCAGAATCGAACCCAGGATCCATCAGTCCTCAGGCCGACGCTCTTCCCACTGGGCCAAAACAGCTAGGGCTGTGAATGATTTTTTTATACTAAAATTGAGATGAGCTTAGTCTCTGGTGGAAGAAGCTGAGGGGGCCCTGAGCTCAGGTGCAGTGGGTACAAGCAAGGTGATCTGTATGAAAAGAATGAAGTTCACCAGCAGAGAGGGGGGAGCATCCTGAATTTAACAAAAAGTATTGGGTGAGTAATTCTGAGCATTGGCCAGGTGTTTGCCAGGTGTGTATCAGCGAATGAAACATGTCATTCTTAGGGTCTTGTGGGGAAGACGGACAATAAAAAATTTAATGTGATATGCACCATGAAAAAACAGTGCAAATACTTGATGTTTTTAACAGGTTTCCTCATCTGTAAGATGGAAATGAGCCTGTCTCGGTTATTGTGAGGATCCAGATGACATGAGTGTACTGCAGGTGGAGTTGCTCAAAAAATATACATTGCCTTCTGCTACTACGAGGTAAGAGGGGAAATGAATATGGGGAATTGAGTGCATCATGACACCTGAAACAGGGCAGTCACCACTTGTAATTTATAGAGAAGGTTTTCGATTAGTTGTGCCCAGCAGGTGTTTTTAATATTTCCTGATTTAATGGGGCTCATCTAACAAAAGCGCAGTCAGAGAGGTTCCCTGCGTTCAGTCTGGGAGCAGGACGGCAGGCTGATAGCAGCGTCCCTGGGACGTTCCTGCTGCGGGCAGGGAGTTACGCCTGTGCAGTGGTCGCAGCTCTGGTTTCAATCAGAATCGCCTGGAGCGCTGACAGAATACCCAGGCCTACCTTCGGAGATTCTAATTTATTGTGATATCATTCTATCCCACAAGGGCCTGGCATTGCTGTTTTTGGTTTTGCTGCTTACTTCCTCCAGATGGTTTGGATTTGCAGTGAGGATTGAGACCCACTCAATGGTGAGTGATACAGGCCAGGCTCAGGGAGCTACCGGGCAAAGGCCCAGAGCTGTGAAGCTGGCTGAGCCTTCGGTGGTTCAGCCGGGCACAGGGGGGGCGGGCTGGAAGGGGGCATTTCATTACCTGACCAAGGACCTTGGTTCCATCCTGAGAGCAGAAGGCAATCCCTGAAGGGCTCTAAGTGGGAGAATGAGGGGATATCTTGGTAAGATATGTACTAGAGCAGTGGTTCTCAACCTTCCTAATGCCGCGACCCTTTAATACAGTTCTTCATGTTGTGGTGACCCCCAACCATAAAATTATTTTTATCACTACTTCATAACTGTAATGTTGCTACTGTTATGAATCGTAATGTAAATATCTGATATGCAGGATGTATTTTCATTGTTACAAATTGAACATAATTAAAGCATAGTGATTAATCACAAAAACAATATGTAATTATATATTCAATGTGTTTTCCGATGGTCTTAGGCGACCCCTGTGAAAGGGTCGTTCGACCCCCAAAGGGGTCTCAACCCACAGGTTGAGAACCGCTGTATTAGAGGATGACCCCTCTAACGAAGTGCCAGGAAGGCAATGAGGATGCAAGTGGAGCTGGTCAGATGACGGCCAGCCCAGATTCGGTGTCCTCCTATGTGAGTCTTCTGGTGGATCGTGTCTATCTTTGTGGGTCGTAATTGGCTGCGTTTTTCTGTCTGTATTCCTTCCACTGAGCTGGCAGCTCCTTCAAAGCAGAGACTATTGAGGCTCGGCATCTATCATGTACTAGACACATACGAAATTTTTTATTAAATGAACTATGTAGAACTCGAAACTGGACACACAGCTCACTTTGTCTTTTTATGACAGTTCGCAAAATTTTGTATCCCAGTTGCTTCCACATTAGACCCTCCCCCTAGGGTAATAAGTGCTTTATATTCACCTGATTGTCCCATGGGGGGAATAGAAAGTTTGACAGGATTTAAATGCTGTTAAAAAGATGGAGAGCCCTAGCCGGTTTGGCTCAGTGGATAGAGCGTCAGCCTGCGGACTAAAGGGTCCCAGGGTCGATTCCAGTCAAGGGAGGACACATGCCCAGGCTCCAGGCTCAAACCCCAGTAGGGGGCCCACAGGAGACAGAGGATCAGTGATTCTCTCTCATCATTGAAAAATTAAAAATAGAACTACCATATGATCCATCAATCCCACTTCTGGGTATATACCCAAAGAATTGAAAGCAGGGCCTCGAAGAGGTATTTGTACCCCCATGTTCATAGCATCTCTATTCACAAGAGCCAAAAGGTGGAGGCAACCCAAGTGTCCATCAGTGGATGAATGGATAAGCAACATGTGGCCTCTGTACTCAGTGGAATATTTCTCAGCCTTAAAAAGGAAGGAAATCCTGGCACATGCTGCAACATGGATCAACCTTGATGATATTACGCTAAGTGAAATAAGCCAGTCATAAAAAGACAAATACTGCATGATTCACCTTATATGAGGTATATAAAGTACTGAAATTCATAGATATTGTAAATAAAATGATGGCTTCCCATGGCTTCAGGGAAGGGGGAGAGAAAGGAATGGGGAGTTAGTGTTTAAGGGCACAAAGTTTGTTTTGCAAGATGGAAAAAAAGGTTCTGGAGGTTGGTTGCACAACACTGAATGTACTTAACACTTCTGAACTGTAGACTCGAAAAGGGTTAAGATGGTAAATTTTGTGGTCTATAGTTTACCACAATTAAAGATGAAAAGTGAATAAATATGGAGGAGAGCTAAATAGAGGGACATATGGAATGAAGAGCAAAGTGCTTACACATGAATGCATTCACTTCTGTAGATTGATGTGAGTAAGAGACAAGTTTTGCTGGGATATCAGACTGCTGCTCTCATGGCACTGATGCCCTAAAGCTGTAGTTAAATTCCCCTTCAGAGTCTCCTTGAGACTCTGACCCTTCGTTGAGAAATTCTGACCTGAGTTAAATATTGCCTAATTGCCATGTGGGCACTGTAGAGCTGTCTCTTATTAACCACCTTGTTAACCTCCAGCTAACTTCAATCCTGATTTTGTTGGTATTCATGCATATAGAGTGAATATAGAAGGCAGGCAGGATGAATATTTCTTCTTGGTTAGGAAACTTTCCAGCAAGTGGGGGAGGGCTTGAGACCTCATCATCATGACATGGCTGCTTGACTTCCTCCAGATCCCAAGATGTCAGGCGGACAATTTTGAGATAAATATCTAGCAATCGAGGGTATTTTTTATTTTTCTGTGCTATCTTTGTTCTTTGTTTACTGAGCCTTTGCCTTTGGGGGAAGTGGAATCTTAAAAAAGGAAAAACCATGGCCGTGAAGTACTGAATGGATAATTAGAAAAATAGCCACTTAAGATCCCGAATTGATGGCCCATTGAGTGAATATTAAATGACTGGGAAAAAAAACGACTGCCAAGGTTGTCTACTTTCTGGTGGTAAAAATGCAAGACTTGGAATCTTGAGGAACAGGGAAACACCAGAAGGAATCTCATAGTTGTGGCCAAAAGTACTTAATTTTTTAAAGGGTACTTAATTCTTATATTTGGTGATAAAGTCTGAGAGGAGAGCCAACTGTTTTAGAGTCAGGGTAGACTCCTGAGGAAACTATGAATGCTAATCTGAATGCAAAGCCATGGTGATGGAGTACCTTTGCAGTATTCTGATTCCAGAAGGAAGGTTGGTTGACCCATCACATTGCCATTTTTCAGTAGGCACATATATATTTTTTAAAATATATATTTTTATTGATTTCAGAGAGGAAGGGAGAGGGAGAGAGATAGAAACATCAATGATGAGAGAGAATCATTGATTGGCTGCCTCCTGCACACCCCCTACTGGGAAATAGAGCCTGTAACCCAGGCATGTGCCCTGACCAGGAATCTAACCGTAACCTCCTGGTTCATAGGTCAACACTCAACCACTGAGCCACACCAACAGGGCTAGGCACATATCTTAAATGTATATAGAATTTATCATGAAGTTATATTAGACTAATAACTTTTGTGATTTTGAAAATAATACAGTCATCATGGAAATCCGCAAAGAGTAAGAGAACAAACAAAATCACCTAAATCTTGCCATTCAGAAAATCCCAGTCTAAAATCTTGTGTATATATTATCAGCCTTTTCACATGTGATTTTTAAGTAAAATTTGGTTCAGACTCTATATGTTGTTTTTAAATAACAGCTTTATTCAGATATAATTTATATACCATACAATTCCCCTATTTAACATGTATACTTTAGTACTGGAGGTTGGTTCACAACACTGAATGTACTCAACATTACTGAACTGATCACTTGAAAAGGGTTAAGATGGTTAATTGTGATATGTGTGGTTTTTAGTATATTGACAGTTGCACAACTTGTCACCACAATCACCTTTAGAGAAGATTTTCCACCTACCCCAAGAAAAACTGCACCCATTAACAGCCACTCCCCTTCTCATTCCACCCACTGGTGCCTCCACCCCCCAGCCCTAGCCAACCACCAGTTTCCTTTGTGTTTCTATGAATTTGCCTATTCTGGACATTTCATATAAATGGAATCATACAATATGTGGTCCTCTGTGCCTTTCACTTAGCACAGTGTTTTCAAGGGTCATCCATGTTGTAGTGTGTATCAGAATCTCATTTCTTTTCTTTTTAAAATATTTTTTATTGATTTCAGAGAGGAAGGGAGAGGGAAAGAGAGAGAGAGAAACAGCAATGGTGAGAGAGAATCATTGATTGGCTGCCTCCTGCATGCCCCACACTGGGGATCGAGCCCACAACCTGGGCATGTGCCCTGACCAGGATTGGAACTGTGACCTCCTGGTTCATAGGTGGATGCTCAACCACTGAGCCATGCCGGCCAGGCAGAATCTCATTTCTTTTTATTGCCAAATATCATTCCGTTATATGGATGTACCACATTTTGTGTATTCATCCATCAGTTGATGGACATTTGGGTTGTTCCTACTCTTTGTTATGAATATTGCTGCTATGAACATTCATGTTTAACCATTTGGGACCTTCTCGTTTCTTCTCAGTTTGAAGAAAATTCTTAGCTATCCAGCCTCCACACCTCTCATTTCCTTACAGTAATTTATAGAAGTAGATTTGCTGTCTAAAAGGACATTACATGTTACAGCTCTTGTCAGATGGTTTATAGGAAGTCTACATTCATTCTCTCTGGAATCGCTTCAGTGTTATTAGCCTGTGTATGTTCAGTGATGTTGTTTAATACCAAGTGCTGTAAAATAGGAGTCCATGAATTTTTTTTATTGATTTTTTTTACAGAGAGGAAGGGAGAGGGATAGAGAGTCAGAAACATCGATGAGAGAGAAACACCGATCAGCTGCCTCCTTGCATGCCCCCTACTGGGAATCAAGCCTGCAACCAAGGTACATGCCCTTGACTGGAATTGAACCTGGGGCCCTTTAGTCCGCAGGCCGACACTCTATCCACTGAGCCAAACCAGTCAGGGAGGAGTCCATGAATTTTTAAAAAGACAGAGTCCCTGCCATCAAGACGCTTATGTTCACATTTAGCCAGATGGGCAGATCTAGATCCACGGTTGTCATGTAGGCAAGATGGTGTACATTATGTGGAGAGAAACATAGACTGGTGAGCTAGAGTAAACATTGGCCTGCCTGGGATGAAATTCACTCAGATATAATCATCAAGCAACTTTTTACACCTAAAAGTAAAAAAAAAGAAAAGAAAAGAAAAGAAAAAAAGTTAACAGAGCCAAACTCCAGCCTAGGGACCAGTTAGTCCAGTGTCATAAACCCTCTGGATCGCTTCCAGCGGTTCTCAACCTGTGGGTCGTGACCCCTGAAAATACATCCTGCATATCAGATATTTACATTATGATTCATAACAGTAGCAACATTACAGTTATGAAGTAGCAACAAAAATAATTTTATGGTTGGGGGTCACCACAATATGAGGAACTGTATTAAAGGGTCGAGGCATTAGGAAGGTTGAGAACCACTGGTAGCCTTAGTGTAAACCTTTCCCCTGTTCTTGAGAAGACTCAGATGTCAGCACAGTGGGGCCCGTCAGACCTGGCTCCGGCTGCCTCCCAACTTGTGCTAGCTCACGACCTCTTTAGATTCCTTGGGACATCTAAACAGCATTCCCTGTTGCCCTGTTTCTCATTCTTTTATATTCAGAAAAGTACCATGTAAAGATTATAAAATTAGCCCTGATTGGTTTGGCTCAGTGGATAGAGCGTCGGCCTGCGAACTGAAGGGTCCCAGGTTCGATTCCGATCAAGGGTATGTACCTTGGTTGAGGGCACATCCCCAATGGGGGGTGTGCGGGAGGCAGCTGATCGATGTTTCTCTCTCATTGATGTTTCTGACTCTCTATCTCTCTCCCTTCCTCTCTGTAAAAAATCAATAAAATATATTTAAAAAAAAGATTATAAAATTAGCCTGGCCGCCATGGTTCAGTGGTTAGCGTCAACCTATGAACCAGGAGGTCATGGTTTGATTCCTGGTCAGGGCACAAGCCTGGGTTGTGGGCTTGACCCACAGTGTGGGGCGTGCAGGAGGCAGCCGATCAATGATTCTTTCTCATCGTTGATATTTCTATCTCTCTCTCTCCCTTCCTCTCTGAAATCAATAAAATATTTTTTTAAATTTCTCTAAAAAAAAAGATTATAAAATGAGCAAGTAGTTCCCTTATATAGCTGAATATGGGAAGAAGTTTCCAGACTTGCTCAGTCGTACCCTGTTGATGTTGACACTGGCATGATTTCATCCCCAACATGACCACCAGATTCCATGCACAGGAAGTGACAAATCTTGATTCGGGAAGCTCACTGATTTGTAAAATTAGAGGTGGCAAAAGTTATAGCAGCTCTTTAAGCAGCCATTCATGCAGAAGCTGTTTACAGTGCCGCTTTAAAAAAAAAACAACTACTGAGAATCAAACTTTTTAAACGAAACCATGCCCCACTGCAGATCCCGTTTTCTAACATGCCACACCCATTGTTATTACCCAACTCCTTTAGCAAACACCATGTAGGTCACTGGCAGAAAGTGCCACGCTACTATCAGGAAGCTGTGATTGGCAAACACAAGCCTAAGAAAATGGAAAACTCTTTTTCTCTTTGCAGCTGTGAAAATGTCTGCCAGGACCCAGCTAGCGGCCAGAGCTTCCCTTATTGAGCAACTGCTGTCTGAAGGGAACTTTGAGGATCTTGGCAACCACCTGACGGAGCTGGAAACTCTGCACGTGACCAAGGAGCATCTCCAGCAGACACATGTGGTCAGGGCTCTGTACCGTGTCCTCAAAAACTGCCCCACCGTGGCTTTGAAGAAGAAGGTCAAGTGCCTCCTGTTGAAATGGAAAGCTCTTTATAATGATCCTCATTTCAAACCAAGAGACAGCCCCAAATTCTTTCCTGTGGGTGACAAGGACAAAAATTCAGGACTTTCTTATGACTCACGTCCAGATGAGACATTGAGAGGCTCCAGTTCTGATTCTCTATCTTCCCAAGATGCTATAGCAAAAGCCGCTGAAATGCTTGTGCCTGAAAATAACCCGAATGGAATGGAACCTAAGGAAGAGGATGTCAAGGGCGGCGACCCCAAATCCACTGACCAGAGATCAAGTGAGTTGCTACCTCCTGCAGTGCCCGTGAGAATGAAATGCACAGAGCTTCTTTATGAAGCTTTAACTAGTTCTTCCACCGAGCAGCCCAAAGCCGAGTTGTGGCAAAGCTTTGCAAGAGAAATTGAAGAGCATGTTTTTACCCTGTATTCAAAGAACCTCAAAAAATATAAAACTTGTATCAGAAGCAAAGTTGCCAATCTGAAGAACCCCCGAAATTCTCACTTACAACGAAACTTGCTCTCTGGGACCATGTCGCCAAGAGAATTTGCCGAAATGACGGTCATGGACATGGCAAGCAAGGAGCTGAAAGAGTTGAGAGCTTCCTACACGGAATCTGGCATTCAGGAACATTGCCTTCCCCAAGTGATGGAGGGCACCCAGACAGAGAAAATAAAATGCAAACACTGTGAAAAGTTCAATTGCAAGGTCACTGTAATTGACAGAGGAATACTTTTCCTTCCAAGTTGGGTGCGGAATTCAAACCCAGATGAACAAACGATGACCTATGTAATCTGTAATGAATGTGGGCAACAGTGGTACCATAGCAATTGGGTGTGCTTGTAATTGTAAATAAATGCTCTGGGACCGGCACATATCTTAAATGTATATAGATTTTGTCAGGAAGTTATATTAGACTAATAACTTTACGATTGTGAGAATCAGAAAAGAGTAAGAGAACAAACAAAAATCACCTAAATCTTGCCGTTCAGGAAATCCCAGTCTAAAATGTTGTGTATCTATTTTCAGCCTTTTCGCTTGTGATGTTTAAGTAAAATTTGGTTGAGACTCTATATGACGTTTTTAAATAACAGCTTTATTCAGTTGGCTGGGCATCCTCTTGTATTCCCTGTCAGGGCACTTGCCCGGGTTGCGGGCTCTGTCCCTGGTAGGGGGCATGCATGCAGGAAGCAGCCAATTGATGTTTCTCTTTCCCTCTCCCTCTCCCTTCCCCTCTCTAAAAATTAATAAAATTATTTTTAAAAGTAAAATAAATAAATGTTCTGAACAACAGATAACTGGAGTGAAACCTTTTATTTATATCACCCTTTTATGCTTGTTTTTAAAATCCTATACAACCCTAAGAAGCCCAGTTGGTGTGGCTCAGTAGTTGAGTGTTGACCTATGAACCAGGAGGTCACATTTGGATTCCTAGTCAGGGCACATGCCCGGGTTTTGGGCTCAGATATACAGGAGGCAACCGAACAGTGATTCTCTCTCATCGTTGATGTTTCTAGTTCTCTCCCTCTCCCTCTCTGAAATCAATAAATATATATATTTATATATATAACAAATATATATATATTTAAAACCCTAAGGAAGTCATTTGCTGAAGTCCGCACCACTATCACTAAAAGTTGATGCTTTGGCTAGAGAGTGGGTGACTGTCTGCATTGTGCTTTGTGGCCACATGGTACTTTGCTATCCTCAGAGTGTTTGAGAGCAGCTCAGCATAACCTATGAGCCTGTTAGAAATGCAGACTCTCGGCCCCAAGCTACTGAATTCGAACCTGCATTTTGGCAGGATCCCCACGTGATCCTGTCCAAAATAGTTTGAGAAGCGCTACTTTAGCAATAGGCCGGTAGTTTTCAACAGTGGCTGCATATTAGAATCACTTGGGGAACTTTGAAACTCCACCAAGGCTGAGGGCCAACCCTAGAACAATCACATCTGAATCTGTGGGCTGCAACCCAGGCATCAACATTTCCTTTTTAATTTTTTTCCTAAATATGTTCTTTTTATTTTTAGAGAGAGATGGAAGGAGAGGGATAGAGAGAGAGAAACATCGATAGCCTGCCTCCTGCACGCCCCTACTGGGAATCGAGCCTGCAACCCAGGCATGTGCCCTGACCGGGAATGGAACCAGTGACCTCTTGGTTCCTGGGACGATGCTCAACCTCTGAGCCACACGAGCCAGGCTCCTTTTTAATTTCTCAAGTTATTTTGAGATGCCGTCAGAGTTGAGAACTGCTCATACCTAGGCTCTCACTCGATCCTTTTCACGGCTCTAAGAAAAGACTGTTGTTCTGTATACTTTACAGGTGATGAAACAGGTCCACAGAGGTGCTGTGACTTGTCCAAGCTACACAACCACAGGTGCTCCCAGCTTTTCTTCCTCCAAATTCACTGTCAGCGACTGCCTCAATATTAACTTCTTCTTTTTTTAATCCTCACCCAAGAACATGTTTCTCATTGATTTTTAGAGAGAGAGGAAAAGAGAGGGAGAGAGAGAAAAAACATTGATGTGAGAGAGAAATATCAATCAGTTGCCTCATAGGCACCAACACCAGGCATCGAACCCACAACCCGGGTATGTGCCCTGAGCAGGAATCAAACCTGCGGCCCTTCAGTGCACTGGACGATGCTCCAACCAACTGAGCCGCACCGGCCAGGCTACTTTGACTTCTGAGAAATGTGTTCCGAGAGATGCAGGACAAAGTGACTAGTGCCTTTAGGCTCTAACATTGTGTAACTAGAGCTTTGTTATTTTTCCCTCTTTTCTCATTTTACAGGTCTCCCTTAAGCCGCGAAAGTTACCCTATAACTAATCCTACAGTGTTTTATTTTGAGTCCTTGATTTGTGGAAGGAGTTATGGGGGTTTTTTTTCTTTGCAAAGTCTCCAGGGCAGGGGTCCTCAAACTACGGCCCGCGGGCCACATGCAAATACAAATACTGTATTTGTTCCCGTTTTGGTTTTTTACTTCAAAATAAGATATGTGCAGTGTGCATAGGAATTTGTTCATAGTTTTTTTTTAAACTATAGTCTGGCCCTCCAACGGTCTGAGGGACAGTGAACTGGCCCCCTGTTTAAAAAGTTTGAGGACCCCTGCTCCAGGGTATGTAAACTCTTCAACTATGACAACGGTTCTCAACCTGTGGGTCACGACCCCTTTGGCGGTCAAACGATCCTTTCACAGGGGTCGCCTAAGACCATCCTGCATATCAGATATTTACATGACGATTCATAACAGTAGCAACATTACAGTTATGAAGTAGCAACGAAAATAATTTTATGGTTGGGTCACAACACGAGGAACTGTATTTAAAGGGCCAGAAGGTTGAGAACCACTGAACTATGACATTTAGTTTCTGATGTTAGCGAGTCTTCATGTTCTCAAGGGCATGTGTTTTAGGTCTGCAGGGGAGGACAAAACACTTGGGAGGCTGCAAATTAGACTGAAAAAGACACATCAACAAGAGAAAACCAGTTTATTACCACTTGCTACATGATACCCACAGGAGAAACTCAGAGATGAGTAACTCAAAGGGCTGGTTAGAACTTGGGCTTACATGGCATTTTAACAAAGAACAATACATTTGTAGAGAAGACAAAGGAAAGGGGCTTTTGGTTTCTAGGGGCAGCAAACTGGGAAAGTAAATATATGGGAAACCTAATGGAAGGTAGTGGTTATTTAGTCATTTGTGTAGTCTCAGTGCCATCTCGTCTCCAGTGATAAGGTTGTTACCCACTTCCTGGTACGGAATTCATGAGGGGAATTTCTGTTCTGTTTTCAGGGAGGGCAGGAAGCTCATCCTGTGTCTGCTTTTTCTCATTCGCTTTCCACTCAGAATGATCCTTATGTCAGGATGGCATATCCCGGGGTGGCATACTCTGGCCCCCTCTAGGTCTGAAGTTCCAAATCTACTTACGGAAAAACAGGAATAAATCAGTCAGACGAAGGCCATTGCTTCAGCCTTTGACTCTCCCAACACTTCTCTAATAAATGAATTGAAAAGGAAATGACTTCTTTGAGGCCTTGCAAACAGTGTTTAAACAAGTGGTATAATTGTTTAAACACTACAAGCCTTCTGTGTGGTTGCAGCTGGGTTTTTTCTCTTTTAAACATTCATAGATGCCATGCCGGTGTGGTTCAATGGTTTAGCATTGACCCCATGAACCAGGAAGTCATGGTTGGATTCCTGGTCAGGGTATGTGCCCAGGTTGCAGGCTCAACCCCCAGTGTGGGGCATGCAGGAGGCAACCAATTGATAATTCTCTCTCATCATTAATGTTTCCATTTCTCTTTCCCTCTCCCTTCCTCTCTCTGAAATCAATAAAACATATTTTAAAATAAATATTCATAGAATGTTAATTGTAATAGCTTCACCAAGTTTACTTCTGAAAAATAAAAAAATAAGAGTACAAGTTTACTTCTGAGTTATCTGCAAACCAGATGACCTGCACATTTGCATAAGTTCTTTTCTCCCAGCTTGTTTAACTTGCTTTGCTAGACCCTGAAGGCCTAAGCGCATGTACAGAATTCCCCCAAAGGTGCTCAAAACTAAAATGCCTTTGTGTTTCAAATGGTTTTGAAGAAATCGCTTGAGGCCATCCAGTGCGAATTCTATTTTGGTCCCTTTTCTCCTTGTGACTTCCCAGGGCTGCTTATTGTGAGGTGGCATATTAGTCTTTTAAAGAGAAACTTGCAAAGTCACCTAAAACGTCAAGTTTCACAAAGTGTGGTTTCATGTGACTTGGAATGATCTTAAAGACTATTCAGTGGGTATAAAAGAGCACAGTACGTGAAACCCAAATGTGATTAGTTCATGTCACTCTTTGCTTTTTGGTTAGGGTTTTTTTTGTGTGTGTGTGTTTTTTTAGTGTGTGTGTGTTTTGGGGTTTGGGGTTTTTTTTGTGGGTAGTTTTTATTTATACTGGAATTTTGCAACCTAAATTTGCAGACAAAAACGCCTGAAATGGAAATTCATTTACTCTCCAAGACGTAAAAATCTGGCTAGTCTTCCTCATTTTGTATTAACTTTGTTAGTGACTATTGCAACTAGAGTTGGGAAAAATAGTAATCTGGGTTTTTGCTTTAGATAGCATTTTGTTTTCTAAGCATTGGTAATCATTCTTTCACATCCTATATTTTATTCCCTAAAAATAAAGGTGTTGTTTCTTTTAACTTGTTTGTTTGTTTTGTTAATCCTCACCAGAGGATATTTTTCCATTGATTTTTAGGGAGATTGGAAGAGAGAGGGAAAGACAGAGAGAAACATAGATGTAAGAGAAACACACCAATTGGTTGCCTCCCGCATGAGTCCCGACCAGGGCCCAGACTGGGGAGAAGCCTACAACCAAGGTATGTGCCCTTGATTGGAACCGAACCTGGGACCCTTTGGTCTGCAGGCTGACGCTCTATCCACTGAGCCAAACTGGCTAGGGCAAAGATGTCTTTTTATTTTATTTTATTATGTTTTAATATATTTTATTGATTTTTTACAGAGAGGAAGGGAGAGGAATAGAGAGTTAGAAACATCGATGAGAGAGAAACATGGATCGGCTGCCTCCTGCACGCCCCCTATTGGGAATGTGCCCGCAACCAAGACACATGCCCTTGACTGGAATTGAACCTGGGACCCCTCAGTCATCAGGCCGACGCTCTATCCACTGAGCCAAACCAGCCAGGGCAAAGGTGGTGTTTTTTTTTTAATTGCTTGTGGGGTAAAGGATCTTTTATTTAAAGTCATTTTTATAAGAAAAGGACCTAAGACTGGAAGGTGTCTGTCAAAGATGAGGCATAGCAAGGGTCCACAGGCTGAGGCATTGTCACAGTGGGAGGAGGGGGAGAGGTGAAGTTAAAGGGCCATCGAATTCATGAAGGCCTCCTTGGTCATGATAAGGACTTTGGGGGGTTTTCCCAAGCTTGAGGGGAAGCATGGAAGCTAGGGAGTTGGTGGTGATAAGATTTGAATGACCTTTAGGAAGGATTCCTGTGGCTTCTATGTTAAGTTAGAGGGGGGAGAAAGCAAGGGTAGATGCAGGCACACCAGTTAAGTGGCCATACCAATGGTCCAAATTTCATATACCTGGTTTCAAACACAAGGACTCAAAGACAGCTCTCCCTGTATCCTTA